GTGCATTTTGGTTGTGAATTGAAGCACTCTTCCAGAATTGAAAACACTCTGTGTTATAGAGCGACCAATTATTACCTTTTGAGCGAATCTGTACGTGATCTATCCAGACAGGATAGAATAACATTTATTTGTGGTGATTGTTTAGATTTGATCAATTAAACAATTATTGGTTGGATAGCTGTGTGGTTATATTTGTTTAGAACCGCTATCTTACCCAACTACCTTGTTTTGGTTTCAAACGGGCGAGGGCGCGTATCCAACTTATCCAGGCAGCTGTCCAGCAGACCAAACGTGGTTTGGATCCTACAACTAAGATTAACATTAAACGAATATTTCTGAATTGAAATTTATAATTAAATTAGGCGTCTCGGATTCTTTAACGTTATAAATTTCTGATGATTTCGAATCACCTAAAGCAACAATACCTATTTTTCCACTGACTAATCCTCAATCAACACTATAACTAGTTAAATTTAATAGTTTCAGGATATCGTCATAAAGCATTGTCATAACTTGACAATCACGTAATATGACTGATAAAATTAATGAAACTATTAACAAAATCGGTCAACAAATTGACTTATAATTACCATTAAATGGTGTTGTTTTCTTGGTATCTTCATCCATCACAGATGATTACAGTATGTTTCTCTATCAGTTGCTCATTCAGTAAATATCTCAAAACCTTGTCAGTCTAATTGATGGTTTAGCGACACAATCATGCATGCAAATAATCAGTATAAGCAGTCGAGCAAATCTCCTGCAAACTGAAAACATCAATGTCGAATTTACCCCAACACTGACTAAGGTTCAAGCCATTATCATAGACATGAGTTGGGAGTGTACTCCCCTGGTTACAACTTATGTTCTCCCTGATAATCACATGAGCATCACTCACTATTAATCATCTTGTAAAAACTTATTTAGCTAAATACATCTTGCAGCACCACATCACTTCGTAATATGACACAGGCCTAACTGATTTTAATAACTTATAACCACTATATCTCAATTAAATCGTATTCCGCCTTATGATAAACTGCATACTTGCAACTAACTTGTATGCCCAATCAGCCAGCAAGTATAAATATAAATAAATAGTCTGCCGCAGATCAGAACATTGAGTCTAGAGCATGTCTCTTACGAATACACTCATGTTTAACGATTTGTTCCTAGCTATCTGTCCAAAATTCATATAATTATCACTCATGTATTTAAATTTTATTTTGATAACCATTCATGTGTATTAGTAGTATTACTAAATTCTATCACGGTCAAGTAAAAATGAGGTTGAGAAAATCTCCCCGTAACTAAATAAACCGTATCAAACTAACTGGAACACTAGTTGGAATTCTTCTCCACGGTATACTTTTGTTCCTTCAGTTAGCCTACTAATACAGATGCAATTGGAATTCAACTCATATGGACAACTTACCGGCATAATCGTTATTTGATTTCATAATTTAAACCAAAACTAATACCAATATTAACATTTCTACAATATTCATCACTTTAATATTTCTAAACACAAAATACTTACTACCTATACGTTAAGTTATTAACCAACGGCTATTAACACGCATCGTTTTATTATTATTATTGTAACCCCATTTTTTATAGCTCAAATAATCTTCACCCAAATTTTCATTTCAAGCGTTTTAAGCATGAAGGCAGATATTTTAAAATTATTACATGTATTTCCCGACCAGATGCTGCCGCTTCTTTTTGATTTATCTTTCAGCTTACCAATACCCGGAGGATTCTTATTATCCTTGGTAACCTCCGGCGCGCGACGATCCCATCCAATTTGGTATCGAACCAACATCACGTTGATTCTGGTGGGAGAGTAGTGTAGTGGCATTGGACAATAGCCACACAATCCACAAAGCTGTGAACACGAGACTACTCAGAAAATAGATATTCAATATTTAACGCGGAGAAATACCTAACAATGGAGAAGGCGCGAACAATGAATTGAATGGACTGGAGTTGATCGAGTGGCATGGCTCGGCCATGCAGGCGTGGTCTTTCTGAATGTTACCTTATATCTTCTATTCATATTAAATATATTGTTCTTCCTCTAGCCTAACCTTGTTCTACATCATGTATTGGTAATTGATACGATACAGTGAGTTGGTGTAGTCGATGGTGTGACTTCCACGTAAGATCTTATAGATTAGGCAGTTATATCATGACAAATCTACAAATTTAGGATTAGGTCTATTATTAGAGTAGTACTAATATCATACTAGACCATAATTCTACAAATTCACTTCTAATAACCACCCGTCTATCAGTGCCATCAATGAGTTGAGATTATCCTGCACTACCATTCTACCTGACATCCCGTGTGTGTCACCAAATCTTTATGTCATCGGCGAAGAGTAGAACGGATGATTTTGCTACAGTTGGTAACTCATTTACATAAAGTGAAAAGAGAAGAGGGCTAAGGATTGTGCCATAGAGAACTCCATTTTTTACGGGTTCTCACGAAGAGAGAGCTCCATTTACCCTTATCCTACACCTCCCCTCATAGAGAAAGTTACTTATTTAATCTACGACTGTATGATGGATTCCAAAACGTTCCAGATCGAATTTAAAACCGGGATGGGAAACCTTATAAAAGATATTATTTAAACCTGTGAAAATCCCATCTACATGTATATTTCGATCTCTTGCCGCAGCTCAGTCTTCTCTTTAATGAGGAGATTTGTCGATTATGATAGGCCTCATCGTAAACCATATTGTTCCCTGGAGAACAGATTATACCCTTCCGCGTAGTTTATAACAGCCATCCGAATAATTTTTTTAATTAGTTTGAAAACTGCACTAGTAAAGCTCAAGGGTCGATAGTTACTAACTAAATCCCTTCTCTCAGCCGGCAATCTGGACTGCCTCAGAGACATGTCAAACAGTATGGCTATATGTTCAGCAATTACATCTGATGGGGCCTTCATAATCCTAGGACAAATACCATCAAGCTCACTGGACTTATAAGTTTTGAGATGCTGAAGTAGTCTCAAAACAGTACCTTCCTCAATAACTACAGGGTCCATAAACAAGCTGCCACAGTCACAATGAGATATTCCGATAAAGATTCGGCTTTTTCGGTATCGCTTCTTGCCAATATTCGTGTATCAGTAGTAATGGAACTCAGCCGCATCTCTGAGTTCGCCATTTTATATACGAGAATAGCCGTTTCGGACTGTATTTACAATCCTTATTCGGTTGCTTTTCATATGATTGTCTAGTCTTACTTATTGACGCTTTACAAGCATTACTAATCTTACAATAACTGGATATGTACTGTTCTAAGCCAGTAGAGATGAACATATTCCAGTGCTTTCCCCTGCACCTAAGAAGTTTCTTGACCGGTTTAATTATCCATGGTGTACTGTTATTTGTCCTACGTGGTACCAGGTGTAGTAAGAATGAGGACGTAGCTGAACTAAATTTGCCCTTAAATACAGACCATGCCTCTTCAACTGATGATCTAGTATCTACTGACCAATCTGCCTTAAGAGCACACACCTGAACGGGTGATATTTTAGCTCTCCATATATTTGGGCAACACTTAACCTGATAGCATATCGTGTCACTAGACCTACACGTGAATGACAAAGCAGTGTGATAGCAATTCGAAACGATGGAAGAATACCTAGGCTCCCAAAATATTCAGTCATATAAATGGTAACCAAGTTCAACAGAGAAGAACATCGTTTTGAACCAAATGGTCCCGGACGAGATAGAAAGAACGTTCACTTAACGGGCTTCCGTATCTATTAGCAGTGCATCGACAATACTTCCAGGCAAGAACCAAGTTATATTAACGGTAATATGGGGGTGAAAAAAAGAAATTGGTAGATCATAGTGAGAAACTGTCATTAGTCCCTAAGGATATGTCACGTTTCTCCTAAAGGACTGCTGGGAAGTCGCTTGGACTAGTTCGGCCGGCAGCGAATTCCAGCATTTGACAACTCTTAAGGAGCAGAAGTTGTTAGATGGTGGATGGAGATAGTTGGCAGGCAACCCTGGACCTGGGTTTCGTGTTATTTGGCATTCGTCAACAAGGTGTACCAGTAATCTTGAGGGAACTGGTTCTCCCTGACGGATCTGATTCCGTGTCACCCAGCTTCACAGTCAGAGACGTTACCACTGAGCTATCCGGGCCGCGACCGACTTCCTGTAGGACTGAGATGGAAGACAAGAAAAATAATGGCATATCAGGTGCAAATTCATCACTAAGCAATTTGAAAACTGTAATCAAGCCGCCTCTAGTTCTACAGTATCCTTAACACTTCTGGACATCCCCTTAAACACCAACTTAAGTTTGGCTCCAACACAAACCTATGGGGTAACACCCAGAAACTAGAGACACAACACAGCAGAAAAGATTGTAGACACAACTTCTACTCACAATTGATTGGTCACTGGGTGGTGATAGCGTTCGATCTGCACTGATAAGGACTTGACACACACGACATTGATCACCACCCATTGATCAATCAATTGTGATTACATCTCAGTCCCGGATAGCTCAGTGGTAACGTCTCTGACTGTGAAGCTGGGTGACACGGAATCAGATCCGTCAGGGAGAACCAGTTCCCTCAAGATTACTGGTACACCTTGTTGACGAATGCCAAATAACACGAAACCCAGGTCCAGGGTTGCCTGCCAACTATCTCCATCCACCATCTAACAACTTCTGCTCCTTAAGAGTTGTCAAATGCTGGAATTCGCTGCCGGCCGAACTAGTCCAAGCGACTTCCCAGCAGTCCTTTAGGAGAAACGTGACATATCCTTAGGGACTAATGACAGTTTCTCACTATGATCTACCAATTTCTTTTTTCACCCCCATATTACCGTTAATATAACTTGGTTCTTGCCTGGAAGTATTGTCGATGCACTGCTAATAGATACGGAAGCCCGTTAAGCGATAAAGTCTTCTATTTCATTTTGAAGTATTTGAACCACTCTTGAACCGTTTGTATCATTTGTACGCCAAAATGAATAACGCGCTGCGGCTATCTCGTTCGGTTTTGCAGTCAGCTGATTCCTCGCTTAAATGTAGTATGGTGATCTGCCATGGTTTGTTGGGTTCCAAGAATAATTGGAAGAGTATTTCTAATGCGTTAGCTCAGAAAAACTGTGGAACTGTAAGTGTATAAATCTTAGTCGTTCATTAATAGATTGTGGCCGTTGATTTACGTAATCACGGAAGTAGCCCACATTCCAGTGATATGAACTATTTTAATATGGCTGAAGATATACACATGGTTGTAGATGACCTCAGCCTGCGTAGCGTATGCTTGGTTGGTCATAGTATGGGCGGCAAAGCGGTTATGTGCGCAGCTCTAATGAAAGTAGTTATCTTTTAAATGATTATTAGCCAGCCAGAAAGGTATGATAAGTTGGTTGTATTTGACATATCCACGACACCAAAACCTACTATACAATCTCTTACACCTATAATAGATCTAATGTCTTCTGTGGATTTGAAAGCTTTGGGACACAAAATAATGGGAATATAGGAATGGTCCGAAATTCATTAATGAAAGAATGGGATAAAACAGTCCCGGTAAGTAAAAAACCTCTTCCATTCAGTAATTTTTGAAGCTAAGTTGGTTTGCCTATGATTCGCCAGCACGTATTCAAAACTGAGTGGTAACCGCTTGTTGAGTTTCTGAAAAATAAACTTGGCTACAGAAAGTCCTAATGTTTTACGTTTAGAAATATGGTTGAGCAGGAACTGAATATTTATTCGGAAAATGTACCATAGATTAACACAATCACAGGTTGCGTATATTTTTTATTGTATATATAACGGTTAAGAGTAGTACTATAGTTATAAATTAATGAATTTTGACCTCAGAACAACACTTGCATTGTACGGTTTTGATGTCGCTTTCTTCAACAGAACAACTTAATATAATTCCTAATGCGTTCTGGTCGTTAAATATATATACTGTTGTTGCAAAATAATGATATATTTGTAACATAATAATACATAGAAAACTTCAACTTCTAACATTTCGTCACTCGGTGTAGGCCGCTTCTTCAGAGAATGAATAAACAAATCAAATAACCCAAGTTTAAATAGTACAGAGAATTAAAGCTAAAATATTTAGTGCGATCAATACGAACACAGGTCTGATCAAGTCAATGACATGTCATTCCAATTAAGATGTTTTATGTAAGACATGTTTGTGTATTTTTGTGCATGTTAATGAACGAAAAATGTAACGTTTGGGATGTGGAAAGATAGAGTTGAATTTCTCATCGAGTAGTCAATGGTTGGAACGCATTACCCGAACAAGTGGTATCAGCCTGACCAGTGAATATTTTCAAGGAGAAGCTGGACCCTCACCGGAAAGCAATCTGTCAGGATTAACACGGGTTCACCAACCTACTATCCTTATTACTGACGACTGAAGATAATAGTGTGAGATGTGAATAGGACCAGAAATTGTAGCTTGGATAGATGTCCAAGTCGAATGAATAGTAAGATCTCTACTGAGGGAAGTAGGATTAATTAATTTTTGGAAAGCTTCGGCTACTCGCCTTTTTTGTAGTCGGAAAAGCCTTTTTCTATTATTTTGATATTTTTAATATCGATTTAATGGTTATTGAAAATGGCATGAACTGCTATTGCCGATCTAATTTGGAGCCTTGTCATTCCTGAATGATTATTAGGTGGTTTCCTTATGTATTCAAGATGTTTTTTTTAGCTCGGGTCATGATTTCTTGAGATGGCTTTTCAATATAAAAGACATCACAATCGACACATCCCAATTTGTAGACGCTTTTCTGCGTCGACATAAAGGGGGCTTTTTCCTTCATTCGAACTAAAGCATTTTAGAGTATGTTAGTTGTTTTGTAGTATGCTTTAACTCTGTGTTATCTTAAGACTCTTTGGAGCTCTGTTGTACCATAGCGGTATGGTAAAACCATAGTACCAATCCATGATATTTCATTCGGATTATTATTTAACAGTAAGACGTCTCATTTTATCGCACTTTTAGCAATCTCAATAGGAAGAATGATTAAATTGTAAGATGTTAATTATATGCTTTTGTTCTTTTCGTTTACCCTTTTTAGATGTAATAATCTTGTTTGATTTTCCAAAGAGATTTAAGGCTAGATAGATTTTTGCACTGAATGGATGTACTGAATTGGAATCGATATAAAGATTTGAGTGTGTTGGTTTTAGGTAGATGGTTGAATTTAGAGCTCTACTTAGATATCTTTTAACCAAACGATTTAAAAATTATAGCTCACCGTGTTTATTTTCACTATTACTATTATTACTAATGGCTTTATTCAATATTACACTTTTGGTACAATATAATCTCAGCACTAGGTATTTCAGCAAGTTCCTTTTACAAAAAAAAAAGAAAAAAGCGAGAGAAACTGGTGACTGCATACATATATACATAAGTAGATAAACCACCTGGAATCAAGTGAAATGTTTTTTAAAGAAGATTTGAATCTTTACAACATTTTAATTAGAAAAATGTTTAAGAATATAAGCTATTGACTAGGTAAACTCTAACAACTTGTTCGTCACATAGTATATTTGCTAAATGAAGTATTGTAGAACTTTCATACCTTTGCTTGAGTTCATGGATTCTAATGTATTGACATGTATTGACATACAAGGAGAAAGATACGAACGAAGTGGGTGGTTAGTATCTACGAGGATAACGCCTGCCAGGAGTTTGCAAGATTTTAGATGTGTGTCAACATCCATATCAATAATGACCTCCGAAGATTCACCACATACCGTGCTAACTGCCTTCAAAACTTCAAGTGTTTTAGACGACGTATTAAAGTTATACAGTTGATAAAGTCATTTGAAAACTTAAAACATGAATTAGATTGACAACTGTTAACGTTTACAAATGTAACTACCCTGCCGTGACACCTAGTCTTACTGCTTGAACGATCCTGATGATAGATATTGAGATATTGTTGTGATAATAAGCTATCTTCTTGTAGATCGTTTAACAAAGATTCTTGATTTTTGATTACACTATGATTACGATACATGTTTTGATGTTTTCAGTCACTTAGCTCGTCCCAATATTTAGAACTTGATGAAATCCCAAATCTTCTTTTTAAAAGTGCTGACGTTTTGTGTTATCCGTTCACAAGCACCTTCAACGGATCCTTCTCAACTGATTCATACCGAGAATGTGAGGAAAGATAAATATAATCTCAATACCTAGGAAAGTATCTGGCGATAAAAATGTTAAATTTAAATCCATAGCTATAACTTCACTTTTTCTCAAAGCAATAAAAAATTGCTGCTACTCCCACTTCAACCTGCACTAAAAGAGCACAGTAATCTGTACCAGTTCGCTTCCAAATGCAAAGGAACCACCTAAAATGCTGCTATTGTTCTGCATCATGGTATAGTGTTCATCTTGGAAAAGGGTAAGAAGTATGTTCTGTGCGCTTTTATGGACTACAGTTCTGCCTTCGACTCTATTCCAAGACAACTACTGAACAAGTTTATCAGCGTCAACGATGACTATTAGATAACCGACTGGCTATGTTCCTACCTCTTTGGAAGATGATAGTACGCTATGCTTGAAGGAAAGTGTTCAATGTCCTTACTGTCTCATTAAGGTGTGCCACAAGGAGCTGTTCTCCCCTCCTCTTCTTTTCCCACTTTTTCTGCATGATCTACCATTTTCCACAGAAAACACTTTTGTTAAGTATGCGGACTATCTCACTGCATGTATGCCGATTTCTACCTCTTCACATCCCCTTGAAATGAATGAGTCCTTGTTTCGTATTGAATGGTGGCCTGTTGTTATTGGTCCCACACTTAACCCGTCTAAATTTCAAACTGTTAACCTTAGCCTGAGACATGAACAGCACCTAAACACCCTGTTGGAATTTTAGTGTCCAAAGTGTAATTTATGGTTTCGAATTGATATGTTATTATCCGACATATTATTCGAATGACAGCTTACATTTTGAGGTAGAACAATCTGCACCGCTGAAATGGACTTTGCTCACGATTTTCACAGTGTCTTGTGAGTTCAGTCAATCATCACATGACTTTTCCAGTTGAATGGCAGCCAACGTCTTACCTGGCTATGTTAACTATTAGGTTGCGACTGATTTAATTCGGTAAATTTATGTAGGAGTAAAAATGTATCGATCTGCTAGTTGTAAGAGTTTGGTGCATAAGAAATTATGGTTAGTACCCAGATGACGTCTAAAAGAAACCCAAGGTTTGTATTCATCAGGACAATTGATTTTTGATTGGAATATGACTTACTTGAGTCCATTTTGAGTTGCAAAGAGAAGACTGTATGTATTACATCAACAACATCTCTATCGTAGGTTGGAACTGGGAATAACTAGACTAATCTGTTCGGAACTCTAAAACACGATTTACGTCATTTGAAATGCAACCAACAAGCCATCGGTAGCCATAAACATGAAGTTCCTTTGTGCCTACACATCCAAACGGCACATATAAGTCCATAATTTCCATCATAATATTTGATGAATGGGTATGGGAAACTTGATTTAACTACGGGGATAACAGAATTCATCGTTTGTTAACTCGGTTTCTTACTGTGATTGAACTTTCTCTTCTGTCGGCTAAATTGTGTTGACGGAAGTTCATTCGTTTAGCATTGCCTCAACTTGTGGCGGAAGATATTGATGTATTTATTTATTTATATGAACACATAAATATTGGTACAAAGGTGCACCGAATACATACGCGCCACACAAGTCCCTTGATTTATATATGGGTTGTGATACTGCCCGGGTGCCCAGACCGAAGCAGGTGGTTTTCTTAGAGAGCCACATCAGGAGACTTTGACCTAAAGGTCTAATCCACAAAGCAGTGGAGCAACGTCAGGAAATGCAGTCCCATGGTAGCCGGTGGCCAACCATTTGTTCCCTCAGATTCCTGGAGCCCATGTGCACCATTGGTTTGGAGTAAAGGTTTCCCAACTCCTCTAGATGGATCCTCCGTGTTCACGAGACTGATTAAAGCACTGGACATTCACTTTTCGTCCTCTAAATTTCGTAAACAACACCCTCGCCACGAGAAGGCAGTGAGTAGGACTTCCTTGGCAGTGGTTGTTTGCGCGTGACCACGTGAGAGCATTTCAAGAGGGAGAACAGATTCTTCCCACCCTCGGCCTATTCATATTAGCTCTTGTGTATTGTTATGAACTTTAAGATACTTAACGTTTCCTATTTATAAACCATCTAATAATAACTAACATCATATTAGTTAATCTTTATTATCAACTGTGTTCTGTTTATCATGTTTATACGACCTGGTCAAGTGTAGGTCACTCAATATCTCAGTGTATCACATTTGATATTTAATGTGTATGTAGTCAAGAGGAAATTGTAAACTACTTTTTTGTTTGTTGGTACTCAGTATTACACATAAGATCGAGGTCTAGAGTTGTCCATAAATCAACTCAATCTACATCACAAATTCATGTTGTTTTGACTCCCTTATTTTATGTCTTTTTAAGTAGCACCTGTCTGTCTTTCGTATATTAATATTCAGAAATTTCTTTCTTGATAAAAAGCAGTTTTCTAATTGAATGTCATAATTTAAGATAAATCATTAAATTTTTGAGTTTTATTTTGAGTAGAATCCTACAATGCGCGCGTTTCTTCTAACAAATCTTGGAGAAAAAGATGGAGAGATATTTTGGAAGGTGAATCTTAAGGCAATTAAAAGCTGTTGGAATCAGATAACAGACTTTCCTGCGGAATTGAGTGGTCGTGTTTTCAACCAACCTGTGATGTTTGTTGCAGCAAGCGATGGAAAGTATTTAGGGTAAGTCTTCTTAACTTGTAATTGCATAATTTAGAATTTCTAAAATATAACTTCCCGTGAAGACTTGCTAAAATTGTCATAAATATTTGTTTACGAATAATTGATTTTTCGACTGATAACGCATCCTTGTGTTAAAGTGGAAATCAATGGTTTAATATTAAATAAAAATGTTGTTTTTGACAAGATTATATTTTGAAGTGATACGTTATATCGGTTAATGGTATGAAGAAAATTTAAAAACAAAACGTGTTTATATAATCTTTAGTTCAAATAACTCATTTAACAGGTGCCTGGGTATTAGGTATAACCCAAGTGGTCGTTCCAATAGTACTATCCAGTTACTCATACCAAAGTAGGCGGAGTGGGGTCTCAAACCTGCGACCGAAAGTCGCATGTCTTAACCACTAAGCCACCGCTTCAACATATTCGTACAGTTAACGCTGTGCTATATTATATCCTTGTTTGAGACCATGATCCTTTCCCGAAATTCTGGCGAAAAGTAACTAGTAGAGTTTAACCATACTATGTATGGTATCAGATGTTCATCAGACTATATCTTAAATTGACTGAAGTTTGAAATGTATATTATTAGATCCTAATTCAGTGTTTCAAAGGTTTAGTGTTCGTTGCCATATTTAAAAGTTTTCAATTTGACCTCATATGAATTGGGGGGGGGGGGGGCTTATTGTTTAGGAGCTCAAAAACAAAAAGGAAGAGCTGTCCTGTGTTTTTTGATTTTCAATTGTTCTCTAGTTAATGTCGATCAATGATCAGGAAATATTTTCAACTTGGACTAGTCTCCACAAAATATGCAACTACTTTATTTTAATTTTGTCATGTTTTTTAATCAGTATGTTCAATAAATGAATGTGAATAGCAAGTATATTACTAAAGTCCACTAAAAGGTATGCACATGAATTTAGTTTTACTACATTGAAACTAAATTCGCTGGACAAAATTTTTTCGTTCAACTGACTTTATTTTTTGAATTGAATTAAGTATCATCACAAATTCACGTTTTCATGTCCCATGAACTGTAATCAATATTGTTGATGTTTCATTAAAGTGTTCTTTTTATATCATTGTTCTTTATAATGTTCAGACAATCAGATTTACCATCTGTACGCAAATATTTCCCTCAAGCAAAAATTGTTCAGATTGCTAACACCGGTCATTGGGTTCACTTTGATGCTCCAAATACAGTGACCAACTTGATTACATCTTTCATGTTAGATAAATCATTTGATCCTACCTCATTTGCAGATGTTAAAGAGATTAAATAACAACAAAAATGGTATACTGTCAGTATGTAATCGATAAGAGAAGGAAGACAAACTTATTTCTATAGTTTTTGTCTTTTCGTTAATTCTTCGATTATTGTGTATTAAACTTGTCATAAAGGGGTTTGGTGTTATTCATTTATGGCATTAAAGTTGGCTGCAGTTCTGAATAATGTGACTGGCATTTGATAATGAATAAACTAATTAGTAGACTTTCAAAGTTGTTTCTGGGTTGTAAGGTGATGACGAGGATTTGCATCTAAGGTTTACAGAAAATGTGTAGCGTTCACTTCGTCCTACTCGTGATTTAGTGAATTTTCGGTCGTATTTAGTCCCAGAATCTAATATAACAGAAAACAGATTTCCGAATCTGTTCGAGGTAAAACGAAAAATTCAGCGATAAATCCACAACCGTAAATAATAATAATAAGTGTTGTCATCTGGGTAAAAGATTCTTCACCAAGGTTATGCTTGCTGAGACATTTAAACCTGCAAAATCATGTGGAAGCAGACTTCATCGAGTGTATAACTTGACTGTTCTTCTTAGAAGAAACAATCGAGAGTTTTATGATTCTACCTGACGACCGATGTTCACTATATAAATCCAAATAAACGATTCTCTCCAATTTCACCCAGAACTAAACATTCCAGAATTGAAATCCTAAGCGAAATTATTTGTCCAGAAAAAGGTTAAACTATCACGCGATGGGTCAGAGATGATCCTTGTAGCTAAATCATAAAGAAAGAGAAACGGGACGCTAGTGTATTAAGCTAACATCAAAACCATGTCTTAGGGATAATTCGATGAATTTTTTATATCTCCCAATAGTTTGGCTTTCGTTACAACGTTGAAGCCTCAAAATGTCTCGTAAATAAAACTATTTCATATGTACAATTTAGTGAATAGAAAAAGCAGTTACCCACCTCAAATTTCAATTTGCGTTCTAGACCGTTATCGTCCTCCTTTAATTTCCATTTATTTAACTGTTTGGAAGTAGAGTTGCTTAAACTTTAGACCTTATCGACTGCGTTTTAACTTATTGGAGGATCAATATTTAAGTTTATTGTCTAATTTTGTGGATGCAGTGTACTATGCACCTATTCAGCAGTGATTTTGTATCGTAGAATGAAGGAAACGCTTTCCGACTAGCCAGTGTAAAACTTTGTGATCATTGTTATACTGAAAATCTTATATTTGTTAAGACTGCAGAATGTTAAGCTGCTTTAAATATATGATAATTTGTAAAATTATCATTGTCAATGCACACATTCAGATTAGAAAAACTTGTACATCTTAGGAAATATTCTCATTGAGTTAAAGAATGAATATAGACTTGTATTTGTACATCCTTACTTACTTACTTACGCCTGTTATCTCCAATGAAGCATAAGCTGCCAACCAGCATTCTCCAACCCACTCTGTCCTGGGCCTTCTTTTCTAGTTCCATCCAATTCTTGTTCATTTTTCTCATGTCTATTTCCATTTCTCGGCGTAATGTGTTCTTTGGTCTTCCTCTTTTCTTTTGGCCTTGAGGATTCCATGTGAGGGCTTGTCTTGTGACGCAGTTGGGTGCTTTCCTCAATGTGTGTCCTATCCACTTCCAGCGCTTCTTCCTGATTTCTTCCTCCGCTGGGATCTGGTTTGTTCTCTCCCACAGTACGTTGTTGCTAATAGTGTCCGGCCAACGGATCTGAAGTATTTTGCGTAGACAACTGTTAATAAACACCTGTATTTTCTGGATGATGGCTTTCGTAGTTCTCCAGGTTTCTGCCCCATACAGTAGAACTGTCTTGACATTTGTATTGAAAATCCTGACCTTGGTGTTGGTTGACAGTTGCTTTGAGTTCCAGATGTTCCTCAGTTGTAAATATGCTGCTCTTGCTTTGCCGATCCGCGCCTTCACATCTGCATCAGATCCACCCTGTTCATCAATGATGCTGCCCAAATATGTAAAGGTTTTTACATCTTCCAAATCTTCTCCGTCAATTGTGATTGGATTGGTGCATTCTGTGTTGTATCGGAGAATCCTGCTTTTCCCTTTGTGTATATTGAGACCTACTGCTGCTGAGGCTGCTGCCACACTGTTCGTCTTCTCCTGCATTTGTTGTTGCGTTTGGGATAGAAGGGCCAGATCATCTGCGAAGTCTAGATCGTCCAACTGCATCCTAGATGTCCATTGTATCCCGTGCTTCCCTTCAGACGTTGACGTCTTCATGATCCAGTCGATCACCAGGAGAAAGAGAAAGGGTGAGAGTAAGCAACCTTGCCTAACACCGGTCTTCACTTCGAACGACTTTGTCAACTGTCCTCCATGCACGATTTTGCAGTGTAATCCATCATATGATTCTGTATGATATTGACTATCTTCTGAGGCACGCCGTAGTGTCGAAGAAGTTTCCATAGTGTTGTTCTGTCCACGCTATCAAATGCCTTTTCGTAGTCAATGAAGTTGATGTAGAGTGATGAATTCCATTCAATTGATTGTTCCACAATGATCCGTAGAGTTGCGATTTGGTCTGTACACGATCTATCCTTACGGAATCCTGCCTGTTGGTCACGAAGTTGGGCGTCTACGCAGTCCTTCATCCTGTTTAACAATACCCTGTTGAAGACTTTTCCCGGTATTGAGAGAAGAGTGATGCCCCTGTAGTTATCACACTTGCTGAGATCGCCTTTCTTCGGTATTTTGATCAGAAGTCCTTCTTTCCAGTCTGTTGGTACTTGTTCCTCATCCCAAATCTTATTGAAGAGAATGTGGAGTATCCTTGCAGTTGCCGCTACGTCTGCTTTTAGTGCCTCTGCTGGAATGTTGTCCGGTCCTGCTGCTTTGCCACTCTTGATTTGTCTGATGGCCATGCTGATTTCTTCAATTGTTGGTGGGCCAACATTGATTGGGAGGTCCGTGGGTGCTGCTTCGATGTTGGGTGGGTTCAGTGGAGCTGGTCGATTCAAGAGTTCTTTGAAGTGTTCTACCCACCTGTTTTGTTGCTCTTCAATGTTGGTGATTACCTCGCCTTCCTTGCTTTTCACTGGTCGTTCTGGTTTGCGGCGATTTCCAGAGAGTTTCTTTGTCGTGTCATACAATTGTCTCATGTTTCCTTCTCTTGCAGCCTTTTCCGCCGTCGTTGCTAAATCTTCCACATATTTACGTTTGTCGGTTCTGATGCTCCTCTTCACTTGTTTGTTTACTTCTGTGTATTCAGCTTGTGCCTTGGCTTTTTCTGCTCTTGTTCGACTGGTATTGATTGCTGCCTTCTTGTTCCTCCTTTCTTGAATCTTATCCAGTGTATCAACAGTGATCCATTCCTTGTGATGGTGCTTCTTGTGACCCAGGACCTCATGACATGTTGAAGTGATTGCCTCTTTGATCCCCTTCCAGTTGCTCTCCACAGTAGTTCCTTCTCCATTGAGTAGATCATGAAAGGCCTGGAACTTGTTGCTGAGGACTATCTTGAATTTGTTGAGTTTGTTAGTATCCTGAAGAAAGGCCGTATTGAACTTTTGTGATATTGTCCGCCCCGTTGTCCAGTGCTTCTTGAGTTTCAATTTCATCTTGGCGACCAGCAAGTGATGATCTGATGCTATATCAGCTCCTCTCTTGGTTCTCACGTCCTCTATAGTCCTCCTGAACGTTTTGTTGATGCAAATATGGTCGATTTGGTTTTGTGTAGTGTGATCCGGTGAAGTCCATGTGGTTTTGTGTATGCGTTTATGTGGGAATATGGTGCCGCCTATGACCAGTTTATTGAAGGCACATAGGTTTGCAAATCTCTCACCATTTTCGTTTCTTTCTCCCAGTCCGTGTCGTCCCATGATGTCTTCATATCCAGTGTTGTCCGTTCCAACCTTGGCGTTGAAATCTCCCATCAGAATGGTCAGGTCCTTTGTTGGGCACTTCTCGACGATTGACTGCAGCCTATTGTAGAATTGATCTTTAGCGTCTTCATTGTAGTCGTTGGTAGGCGCATAGCATTGGATGATGTTCATTGAAATGCCCTCTTTCTTTGTTTTGAACGAGGCTTTGATGATCCTTGGTCCATGAGATTCCCATCCTATAAGTGCATTTTGCGCTTGTTTGGACAGCATCAATGCAACTCCTTGTGTATGTGGTGCATTTTCTTCTTCATGGCCGGAGTATAACAGGAGCTCTCCTGTAGTTAGTCGTTGTTGTCCAACTTGTGTCCAATGTGTTTCACTGATCCCAAGTACCTCTAGGTTGTATCTTCTCATTTCTGCAGCAATTTGGAAGGCTCTCCCGGTGTCCCACATTGTACGAACATTCCATGTACCTAAATAAATGGTCGCTCTGGTTGTCAGAAGGGGCATCGGCCTCGTAACTTCCGAAGGAATTCGGCTTTCATCATGAGGCGTCATAATTCTTCTAAATGAAGACCTTCTGACTCCCAGGGCAGAGTTTAAAAGGTTTGAATAATTTTTTCTGGTTAGCGTTTTTTTAGCGAGTTCGTTTACTACAGGATGGGGTCGCTAACCTACTTGGATTTAACTAATACAGTAATAACAATCATAATTGACACGTAAGGAAAATTATGCCTCTTAGCTGAATAGACAAATGGGATCAGTGAAACACACTGGACGCAAGTTGGACAACAACGAATAACTTCAGGAGAACGCCTGTTATACTCCGGCCATGAAGAAGAAAATGCTCCACATACACAAGGAGTTGCATTGATGCTGTCCAAACGAGCACAAAACGCACTTATAGGATGGGAATCTAATGGACCAATCACCATCAGAGCCTCCTTCAAAACAAAGAAAGAAGGCATTTCAATGAACATCATCCAATGCTATGCGCCTACCAACGACTACAATGAAGACTCTAAAGATCAATTCTACAATAGGGTGCAGTCGATCATCGAGAAGTGCCCAACAAAGGACCTGACCATTCTGATGGGAGACTTCAATGCCAAGGTTGGAGTGGACAACACTGGATATGAAGACATCATGGGACGACACGGACTGGGAGAAAGAAACGAAAATGGTGAGAGATTTGCAAACCTATGTGCCTTCAATAAACTGGTCATAGGCGGCACCATATTCCCACATAAACGCATTCACAAAGCCACATGGACTTCACCGGATCACACTACGCAGAATCAAATTGACCATATTTGCATCAACAAAACGTTCAGGAGGACTATAGAGGACGTGAGAACCAAGAGAGGAGCTGATATAGCCTCAGATCATCACTTGCTGGTCGCC